AAAAATATTTTTAGTTATAGATGAACATGATAACTTTATTTTATGTATTTTTTAAAATGTGGTGCTGAGGATCAAACCCAGTGCCTCACACGTGCTAGGCAAGCACTCTACCACTGGATCACAACCCTAGCCCTGGCATATACATTTATAATTAGTCTCTACTCCTACCTGCAGCCCTTGGCAATGACTCTTCTGACCTCTATCTCTGCAGATATGCCTTTTTGGGCAATCTCTTATGAGTGTACTTCTACAATATGTTGTCTTACACATTTAACTTCTTTCACTTAGTGTTTTTGAGCTTTACCCTTATATAGCATGTATCAGTAATTCATTCAGATTTATTGGTGAATAATATTCCATTGTATAAATGTTGGTGGACTTTCTGTGAATGAACATTTGTTGGCTGTGTGTTTTGTTTCTCTTCGGTGAATATCTAGGAGTGAAATTGCTGGGTTATATGGTAAATTTATGTTTAGACTTAGAGTCTGTCAGATTGTTTTAAAAAAATGACTGCACCAGTTATCATTCCCAGCAACACTAGGGCTCTAGGTTCCACATTTTAAAATTGGTGCATTATAACTATACATAATGGTGGGATTTGTTGTTAAATATTCACACATGCACATAATATAACAATATAATTTGGCCAGTATTCTTCTTAGTATTTTCCCTGAGGGTTCCATTTTCTATATATTCTTACTAATACTAGATATTGTCTCTGGTTTTGATTATAGCCATTTGATTATAGCATGTAATTGTAATTTTCATTCAGTTTGCACTTTCTTAAACTAAGATGCATTTTTTTCATGTGCTTAGCAGCAATTTTTGCATCTTCTCTGATGAAGTTTCTGTTTAGATCTGTTACCCATTTTAAGTGTGTTGTCTAATTATTGATTATAAGATTTCTTCATGTGTTTGGAGGATATGAGTCCTCTATCAGATGTATGATTTCTAATTATTTTCTCTCAGGCGGTGCTTTGTCTTTTTGTTTTCTTAATGGTATCTTTTGAAGCAGAAAAGTTTTATATTTTGATGGATTATACTCTTGATGTTCATTTAATAACTCTTTGCCTAACCGAAGACCATTATTATTTATTCGAGAAGCATTATAGTTTTAATTTTTCCTTTAATGTTTATGATTCATATTTTAGTTAATTTTTGTGTATGGTATGAATAAAAAATTCAAATTTACCTTTTGGTATGAATAAAAAATTCAAATTTACCTTTCAGCATGTGCATATCCAGTTTTCCCAGTGCTGCTTATTGAAAATACTATTATCTCCTTAAAGAAGTGCTTTGGCACCTTTTAAAAAATTAAATTGACCATAAATTTAAAAGTTTACGATGACTATCAATCTGTTTAATTTATTTGTATGTCTATATTTATGCAAACATTATCTGTCTTACTCATTGTATGCTGTGCTCAGATTTCAGATTAAATTGAAATTGAATTGGCTATACAGTAATTGATTTAAAGAACCTGTGTTCTTAAATTCACCACATTTTGATCTTTTTTCTGTGATGAATGGTGTGGGGGGTGGTAGTTGAATTATTTTTGTCTCCCCCGTAGTTTATCAAGTTGTAGTTTAAAATTTATCATCTTATAGGCTGAAAAGATATTTTGTGCCTCACTAAGAACTACTCAAAAGATATGAGAATAGGGATAGTGGATAGAGATTGGGATAGGATTGTAGTAATGGGAGCATCTATCAAAAAGTAGACACACTAGATGGAACTGCAGTCTTTAGTGACAGGAAAATCCAGAGATTGTTGCCAACAGCATGTTATTTATTCTGTTTATAGAAGTGTTTTAAGCAMGTTTGTATTTATTGCTTTCAGATGAAGTCTTAACAGAATATACTGAAAGAGGGGCTAGGGGCTCAGTGGTAGAGTGCTTGCCTAGCATGTGTGAGGCACTAGGTTCAATCCTCAGCACCACATAAAAATAAGTAAAGTGAAGGTATGTGTCCATCTCCAACTAAAAATATTTTTTTTAAAAAAAGAATATTTTGGGGGCTGGGGTTGTGGCTCAGCAGTAGAGTGCTCAGTTTGCATGTGCAAGTCCCTGGGTTCGATCCTCAGCACCACATAAAAAATAAACAAGTAAAATAAAGGTGTAAAAAATTATAAAAAAAGAATATTCTGTAAATAGTTCATGAAGCAATAGATTTAAGAGTTATATCTGTACCATTTAGCAATAATTTATGGGCATTCCTGAGCCGTAATTACCTGGGGCAGGGGGGATAAATACTTGCTCTGTCAACTTCTCATAGTATTTATGAGATTCATGTAGTAATGTTTGTTTAAATGCTTTGTAAAATATAAAGCATTATACAAACTTTTAAAATGTCATTTGTGTATTAAGCACTTATATACAAGAAAATAGTTTATTCAAACACTTAATTTTCATAGTGTGAAGGGAAAAGGATATAGAATTTGATCACAAATACAATTGAAACGGGTAAAATTGTATTAGAACTTAAAAATGTGGGGCCTAAGTGAAATCATTGAGAGTGAGAAGAATATTTTCTTTAGTCTCTGTGCATATAACAGGAAGTCAGAGGAGGAATACTACTTTATTGGAGAATGTGTAAACTTTCTAATTTTACATAACTGGATATATAATGATAAAATATTGTCTCTTTAAAACATTCTTCATTATTATATAGAATTTATGTAAAAATTATTTATAAGTGCAGTGCAAAATATCAAGCAATACAAGGTTATTAATCAAGACAGTGCATTACCAGCATAAGTATAAACATAGGTTGATGGGATTACGAGTCCAGAGATTTGGACAGGGGTGCCAGGACTATTCACTGGGGAAAATAGTCTTCTTAACAGATAATGCTGGATATCTACATGCCAAAGAATGAATTTGTATTCCTTCAATACCATACAAAAAAATTAACTCAAAAGTAGATGTTAGAAGTAAATGTAAGTACTAAAACCATTTGCAGTGGTGCATGCCTGTACTCCCAGTTACTGGGGAGGCTGAGGCAGGAGGATTACTTGAACCCAGGGAGTTAGAGACCATCCTGGACACAACATAGCAAGGCCCTGCCTAGCTTAGTGGTAGAGCAACTTGCCTAGCACACATGAGGCTCTAGGTTTCATCCCCAGTACTACAAAAAAAAAAAAAAATTTAATGTTTTTTAGGTTAAAAGGTTAAAAGGTACAATAAATATAACATTTAGAAGAAAATATAGGAATGAATTTTTGTACACTTGGGTTAGGCAGTGGTTTCTTGGATAAATTGGACTTCATCAAAATTAAAAAATTTTTGTGAAATATTTGCAGAGACAACCCACAAGTGAAAATTTTGCAGATCACATTTAGTAAGATATATTTATTTGGAATAAAGAACTCTTACAACTAAAAAAATAAGTAACTCAGTTAAAAAATGGACAAAGGGTGGCACACACCTATAGTCCCAGCAGCTTGGTGTGAGGGCTGAGCAGAGCAAAAGGATTGCGAGTTCAAAGCTAGCCTCAGCAAAAGCGAGGTGCCAAGCAGCTCWATGAGACCCTATCTCTAAAAATACAACATAGGACTGGGGATGTGGCTCAGTGGTTGAGTGTCTCTGAGTTCAATCTCTGGTACCCCCCAACAAAAAAAAGGACAAAGGTTCTAGGTAGACATTTCTCCAAAAACATAATGCAAATGCCCCAGAAGCATATGAAAGGATGCTTACTCCACCAGTGTCAGGGAAATGCCACTCAAAACCACAGTGAGATAATAATTTACACCCAGAATAATAATAAATGTTGGTGAAATCACAAAGAAAATAGAACCTTCTTGCACTGCTGATGGGATTGTAAAATAGTGGGCTGCTTTGGGAAACTATCAGCAATATCTCAAAAGATTAAACAAAGTTCATATGACCCGGAAGTCCCACTCTTAGGTATATGCCAAACAGAATTGAAAATATGTCCACAAAAAAATCTTGTGAATGAATGTTCATAACAGCATTTTTCATAATGGTCAAAGTGTATAAACAACTCAGTGTCCATCAATCAGTGATTGAAGAAGATGTTGAATGGGATATTATTTGGCAGTAGAAAAAAATGAAGTACTGATGTATGCCATAACATTGATGAACTTTGAAAACATTTTACTAACTCAAACTAGTCACAAAGCTGGTTATGGCGGTGAATGCCTGTGATCCCAGCTACTCTGGAGGATGAGGTGGGAAGATCCCAARTTCAAAGCCAAGCTGGGGTTGAGGGGCAGCAACCAAGTGAGACCCTGTCTTGAAGAAAGAAAAAAGAAGGAAGGAGGATAAGGAGAAGGAAGAAGTTAATCACCAAAAAACATATTGAAACTGGGTACAGTGACGCATGCTTGTAATTCCAGTGGCTCGGGAGGCTGAGGCAGGAGGATCATAAGTTGAAAGCCAGCCTTAGCAATGGCAAGGTGCTAAGCAACTTGGTGGGACCCTGTCTCTAAATAATAGAGCTTGGGATGTGGCTCAGTGACAGAGTGCCCTTGAGTTTAATCCCCGGTACCAAAAACACAAAATAATACATATTGAATTATTCTTTCTATTTGAAATATCCAGAAAAGGCAAATTTATAGAGCTAGAAATAGATTAGTGTTGTCTGGGGCTGGAGAGAGGATTTGGAGGAAATGAGAAGGAATTGCTAATGGGTGCAGGGTTTCTTTTTGGAGTGTTAAAAATGTAATAAAATTGTGGTGATAGTTGTACAACTCTGAATAAGTTAAAAACCATTGACTTACCCACATTGAGTGAATTGCATGTGAGTAACAAAAGCTTTAAAATCAATCAGTTCCCAACTTTAAAAAAATATGAAGTAAGAAAAGGACTTTTGGAAATGGGTCTACTGTTTATTTCCTGGAGATACAGAAGGATTGAGTGGTAATCTCCTAGCTATCTTTTTTTTTTTTTCATTCTTTATCCTTCTAKTGACTGACTAGGTTTATTAAATGAATACACTTGTTGGGTTGAATAATAGTAAATCATAATTCATTTTTGACAGGAATTGAGTTCTTCTCAGACTTTATCACATGATGGAGGATTCTTCAATAGACTGGAAGATGATGTTCATAAAATTCTTATTAGAGAAAAAAGAAGAGAACAGCTTACAGAATATAATGGAACAGATAATTGTACAGCTCATGAACACAACCAGGCATGTAAAATAGAAAATTCTCTTAAAATCATAGTGAAATTAAAATGCAAATTATCTTTTTTTAAAGTAAGCTTGTAGAATCCAGTTTTGATTATATAAAGCAAGTTTTTTGATATTATCTTACTAGTTAGTAATCCCACGAAAGAATTTGTTTAAAAATACTAAGTTTGCAGTTTATTCATTGATGAATATTTATTGAATATGTTCTATATTTTATGTACAGTTAAGCACTGGTTAAGGGATGAGGGAACACAAAGATTAGTGGGCATTTGAGGAGGTAGATTTGTAAAAGGATTGTTTGGCATGATGAAGACTTGAATAAGAGAGATATGAAACAATAAGAAAGATATTTTGAATAGAAAACTTAATCATAGCTTGGGTGAATTTCGAAGGTATGTAAACAATTACGTTTGGCATGGATTTTAAATGATAAATAACTTTAAACTKCGAAATGGAGAAAGACTGCGTCCTAAGACAACTGCAGAATTAGGAAAGACCTGTAACTGAGTATTCAGAAAATTGAAAAACTCTGCAACCAAGAAGTTTAAGGCAAACTTGGAATGACATGATTAGAAAAATAGATTGAAGTTAAATTTTAAAGATTTTTTTTCCTATGAAACTAAGAAGTTAGAATTTTATCCTTTATAACAGGACAAACTGGATGGCCTGAGTTAAATCTGGTCAGTGGTTGTTTTTTTGTTTGTTTGTTGTTCTTATTGTTTTTAAGGCCCATGAACCAAGAATAGTGTTTACATTTTCACTTAACTGTTTTTAAAAAATAAAAGAGAATAACCCAGAAAGCCTAAAATATTTGCTGCCAAGCGCTTTACCAAAAAAAAAAAAAAAGTTTGCCATTATGCACCATTCGCTCTCAGTGTTGTCTCCCTTCTCTATTCTAACTCTGAACCAACAGGTATTGCTAGAAAGTATTTTTAATACAGTGCTAATGTTCTCATATGATAATCAGTGCTATGTAATTTTTGCCATATCCCCATTTCTACTTGACAGTCCTTTTTTTCCACATTTGTTATTGGTGCATTATAGTTGTACATAATGATGTGATTTATTGTTACACATTCATACATACACACAATACAACAATAGAATTTGGCCAGTTTCACTCCTCAGCACTTTCCCCTCCTTCCCCATCACCCATCCCCTAACCCTTTCCTCTATTTATCTCCCTTTGATTTTTAGGAGATCCACCCCCACCTTTTTTTTCTCTTTTTTCTTCTCTAGCTTCCACATATGAGAGAAAACATATGACCCTTGACATTCTGAATTTGGCTTATTTCACTTAACATAATGTTCTCTAGTTCCATCCATTTTCCTGCAAATGCCATATTTCGTTTTTATTTATGGATGAATAAAAAAGTTTGTTGTGTGTATATATATACCATGTTTTCTTTATCCATTCATCCATTGATGGACATCTAGGCTGGTTCCATAGTTTGGCTATTGTGAATTGTGCTTCTATAAACATGGGTATGCATGTATTACTGTATGATGATTTTAACTCTTTAGGATAAATAAGTAGAGAATCTTTGAAGGCTTTTGAGTAGAAGGGAGAGTTTTATTTGGTAACTATTAATAAATTTCATTGCAGTACCTAAGAAAAATTGAAGGAGGATGAAGGGTATGGAAAAGAACTAGATAATGCTTAATTGTAAGGGTTTAGTGCAACAGTAGTATTCTATTAGTAGGAATATAAATTGGTATAACCATTTTGGGAAACAATTTGGCATTATCTTTTAAAGTTGAACATGATGGATGGGCATGATCTATGTTGTAGAAACTCTATCCCTGAACTAAGCCCTGTAGGCATGTTAAAAACTTCATTGTTTTGTAATAATAAAATCAATAGGAGAAGTGAATGAACTGTAAGCTGCAGTTCATTGGACAAATATCAAGAACAAAGTGTTTAATGATAATAGAGTTCAATGCTATTCATACATATATTAAAAATTAGAAATTTGATATATTACTTAGGGATATCTATATGTACACATACATGTATTTTATATAGACATATAAATATACACATATAAATGTATATATACATAAAGGCGATGTTAAACATAATGTTAATGTAATGTTCATAACAGTGGAGATAATCAGGAGAGAGGAGAAAGGGATATAAACTAAGAGAGGCACATGGGTGCTGCCAAGGTATTGGTAAAACTCATCCTTAAAAGAAGTTCAAAACTCTTAATCTGCATATTGGGTTACTTTTACTTTTATCTAATATATACATGTTATATATGTGCATATGTGAAGTCTTTCATAATTAAAAAAAAATTAGGATTTTGTTGTAGTATGTCATTGAGTGTACTGGGGAAAAAAGAATTGAGGCTGGTTTTTAAATTCTCTTTCTCTGCCCCATTGTACTCCTTTCTCAGAGAAAGAAAATTCTTCTTTTTGCCAGTATTCAAATCATTTTTAAACTGTATATGCATTTATATATCAGGAATTATTAAGTGTGAAAAAATAAACGTGTATTCTGCCATTTTTTTTTTTCCCCAGTACCAAGGATTGAACCCTGGGGAGCTTAACCACTGAGCCAAATCCCAACCCTTTTTTATATCTCATTTAGAGACAGTGTCTCACTGAGTTGCCTAGCACCTCACTTTTGTTGAGGCTGGCTTTGAACACACAATTTTCCTACCTCAGCCTCCTGAGCTGCTGAGATTATAGGCGTGCACCACTTCACCTAGTGGAATTCTGCCATTTTTAACAAGCATTTATTTTCATTAAGTAGATTTTTATCATTTCTTACAAACAAAAAGAGTACATGAGAAAATGTCAGAGTATGTAATACCTATTTATATTTTATAAAATTTGTTCCTGTGTGCACATCTGTATACACACAAGATATACACATATGTACATGATACGTATGTGCATTCTGTGTCATAAAACATTCCTATCATGAGCTACTCTTAAATAAATTTGAAAGCATTGTTTTCAGGATAGCCTCAGCTCAATTAAGTTCCCACGTATATACTTTTCCAAACTTTTTTCTATAGCAACTGAAGACCAATCCTGTGTGAAGTCCTTCCCCACTTACTCATGAAAATAATGTGCATTTCACATGCCATTTCCTCTTCCACAGCCCAGTCTTCAACACTAAAACCAGAAAATCTGGATATAATCTTTACTTCCCTTTTATTCCCCATAACATTTTGTTTTTATTATAGCAGTCATTCTTATCATTCTTAATAGATTTTAAGTTCCTTTGGGCACAGAACTCTGTCTTATACATCCTTCCAATCTCATTTTATTATGATATCTTTTACTTAGAAGATAATTTGTAAATATATTTATTAAAATGTAGTACTTCATTAAAAGTGAGTATATGTTAAAACAATATGGCTCTGTTTTAAATAGTGTTATGTATTTATTGTAGAAATTTAAGTAAAATACAACAATAAAACTAAAAATAAATATTTGAGGAATAGATATATGGAGATATATATATATATATATATATTCAGATATACTGCATTAACTACTTAAAATAGACTCTTATTTCATAGTTAACCATTGAGTTGGTGGGAATTATTATCATCCCCAATTTGTAGATGTAGTGGGGAAAGAAAGACCCTCATCTTAGTCACCTGGAGGAACCTACTCGTGATATTTTGGTATAGTTCTACTTTTCTATGGATATATACATTTTTCCTCAATGTATAACTGTCATATGAACCACTTTTTTTGGTTAATTATAGATGGTTAACATTTCAGGTCATCAGATAGTTCTTGTACATTAAATAAATATTCAGTTTATAGATTAAGTTGCTTGCAATTATCCTATGCTGAGAAAAATCTTAATGTACCAGTTTGATAACTAATGAGATTGCATGTTTTTTTCAAGTTTTTTTGGTCATATGTCCATCATATTGSTTACAACTATTTTTTCTAGCTTTTAAATTCACCTTTTGATTACAGTATTTTTTGAGATTTTTTAATTGAGTCAAGTCTGTCAGTCTTTTTCTTTTTGTTTTCTTCCTTTGATATCAGAAAGTCTTTCCTTTTCAAAGTGGAGAGTCATATTTATCCAGATTTTTAAAAATACTTAAAATAGGATATAGAATTGTGGCTCAGTGGTAGAGCATTTGCCTAGCACGTGTCAGGCACTGGGTTTGATTCTTAGCACCGAATATAAATAAATGAATAAAATTTTAAAAARATCCATTAGTTTCTTAAAAACATACTTAAAACGGTCTCATTTTTATCAAAAGTTGTATTCTACATAGTTCTCATTGTTAGATACTCAATATAAAATAATTTTGATAAAAGAAAAATTTAAAACAATAAAGTGAAACCTATTTTGTGATTAAAATGTTGACATGATTTTTTTCTTCACACATATTACAATTTTGGGATCATGCAAATATATTTTATTGTTCTTTATCATCATTTTTAGTGATTGCATAGTTTTCAGTTTTGTGAATTTACTGTGTATTTAGCCTATGTCCTAAAAAAAAATTATTAAAAGCTTTGGCTTTTAAATTGATAATATATTTTTCATAGATGCTTCACCTTCCCACTTAACATAAATTTCTAGGTGTGAGATTCGTGGGCCCAATAGTAGTATAGTGCTAATTTTGATCTACCTATCTTATTCCTTAAACTAGAAACTCAGACTAGAGTGTCCATCATCCTCATTTGCTACATTCAACCTCTCATCCAAATGCTATTGATTCTGCTCCAAATTATTTCTCAGATACACTTATCTCCATTTATTCTGCTTTACCTTTATCCAAGGCATAATCTTGTTTGATCTGGGCTTATAATAGCATTAAAAATTCTTTCTACCTGTCTTTGCCCCCACTGCAGTCCATTTTCCACACAATACCTAAAGCTATTCTTTACAAACATAAATGTAAATCTAATATAAAATATAAATATAAATATAATATAAATGTAAATATAATGGTTCTGCTCAGAATCCTTCACTGCTTTCTGTTTTAATCACAGTAATTTGCAGACTGTTTTATAGCTTACAAGGCCCTCTAAGATCAGGCTTTATTGATTTTTCTGAAGTCATCTTAAACTATCTCGCCCCTTATTATACTCCATCTACAGTGTCGTCTTTTTTCTTCCTTTCTAATTGCAGCATTTGTTTATCTGTGATCTGTCTCCTCTCTTAGRTATCTAAGTCCCATAAGAGTAAGAAGCTTTTCAGTTCAGGTGTTCTATTGTATACCTGGTACCTAGCAGCTAAGATAACCCGTATTTGTGGAATAAATTGGTGTTGCCTCCTTACTCATTATATAAATAGAGCCAATTTATGTTCATCAAAAGAATGGACTTTGGATGACTTTGTACATTTAAATTTATTTACTTTAGTATATGGTATAAGATGACAGGAATTTCAGGATAGACTAATAATAATAACTTGTCATGGAACACTTTTAATGTTTATTTCAAGATAGAAATAACATTTCAGAGTCCTGATATTCTTAAGTATATTTGCAGTTTGAGATTAACTGTAGAAATMTTATTTGCTTACATTATAGAATTAGGATCATAATTGAGTCAAAGTGGAAATGTCAATATTTAAGGTTGCCTAAGAAAATTAATTAAAGTTAGGATTTTTCTTTTTAAACTTGTCACAAAGGACTGTTGCAAGCCAGGTTTGATAGAACAATTTTAGTCCTAAAATAGTATTTTTCTTTTTTCAGGAAGTGGTTCTAAAAGATGGAAGAATTGAAAGACTAAAGTTGGAACTTGAAAAGAAAGATGCTGAAATCCAGAAGCTGAAAAATGTGATCACTCAGTGGGAGGTTTGTATGCACCAGTCTATAAATGCAAATGTTCTTTTTCTTTTTTTTTTTTTTAGTTGCCAATGGACCTTTATTTTAAATAGTTATATGTGGTGCTGCAAATTGAACCCAGTGCCTCACACATGCTAGGCAAGCGCTCTACCACTGAGCTACAACCCCAATCCTCTGCTTTTCTTATATGTTTAATATACAGCTGATAGAAACAGTCATTCTGCTATTGAGAATTTTAAAACTGATTAATGATTTAATGTCTGAACAATATTATAATTTTATTGTTGTAAAATATTTATAACCATTTCAAGTGTACTACTGATTCAGTGGCATTGAGTATCTTCATGATCTTGTCTAATCATAACCATTATCTCTTTCCAGAATTTTTTTTATCATCCTATCCCAATCAGAAATTCTGTACCCATTAAACAACTGCATTTTCATTCCCCAGACCTTTATAACCTTTAATATCTATGAATTTGTCCATTCTGGTTACCTCACATAGGTAGAATCATACATTGTTTTTCCTTTTATGTCTGGCTTATTTCATTTAGTTTAATGTTTTCAAGGTTCATCCATGTTGTAGCATATATCAGAATTTTATTCCTTTTTATAGTTGAATGATGTTCCATTGTATGTATATACTACATTTTGTTTGTTAGTATACAATCTTGAGTCCCAGATTTTAATTCTTTGGATTAATTTTTTGAGAAACCACCAACTCTTTTTCAAAGTAGTTATACCATTTTTTAAAATATTTTGTTGTTGTTGGACACGATACATTTATTTATTTTTATGTGGTGCTGAGTATCGAACCCAGTGACCTGTAGGCACTAGGTGAGCGCTCTACCACTGAGCCACAACCTCAGCCCCAGTTATACCATTTTACATTCTCACCTGTGCTTAGGGTTCTAATTTCTCCACATCTTCAACATTTGTTAAATAAGTGTGTATTTTTAACCATAAATTATGTGAATTACTCTCTTACTTCTTCCTTTAGCCCTTAAAATTTCTTTACTCAATTTGAATATCACTCTCTTTGACTAATTCTTAGAACAATTGTTTATTGAGTACTTGTAGTATGCCAAATACCCTTCTGGGTCCTGCATATGTAATAGTTAAAAAAAAAAAAAAAGTCAAGTTCCAACCCTTATGGTATTTACACTTCTTTCCTGCTCCTGCCTTTAAGATTCACTATATGTGCCCATCTTCCTTAGCCTTTCATTTCTGCTTTCATTACTTTTGTTGTTAATAGGCATGGGGAATAAAAAATGAGTTACAAGGAAGATAAACATATAAACAATTGCAGTACAGTATAAGAATTATAATTGATATTTGACAGAGTATTCAAGAAGTACAGAGAAAAGAACAAAGAGTTGTTGCTGTTTAAAATTGGTAAGATTTTACAGAAAATATGTTTTTTCCAGAGAGGAAAATAGTGTGTACAAAAACATGGGAATGGTGGGATGTACATGGTAACTGACATTTAGAGAATGGAGAAGCTATCGAAAATGAGATTGAAGGTGTTTGTTGGGTATTACACAAAGAGGGCAGTGAAAAGTCTTTTCTTTTCACATGAGAATTGTTTTGTGGGATGATAATGCATGTAGCCTAGTCTTAAAGTGAAGACAGTCTGATAAAAATGACCATATATTGAGTGTAAGAGGAAGGACACATTTTTCAAACTGTTTTGAGAAATGGGAACTAATAGATTCCATTTTTAACTTGTTGAATTTGAAATGGCTGTGTTATATGCAAGTATATATGCTCAAGACACAGTGGGGGTCAATATATATGCATTTAGCTTTATCAATTTTATATGCTCTTTCATAAACTTTCAAAACACTAGTAAGGGCATCAAATATTGCTTACATTATCATAAACTACTTATTACTGGTATTTTACATATTTATGTTTTTGTAGATATGCTTATTCAGGATTGTATATACAAAACTATGTATGCTATTTATTTATGAGCAATTTAAGGAATTTTCACAGGTAAGTTTGCACATTTTCAAGTTTGCTTTAAGAACCAATTTAGACTCTTCAAGGCTTACTTAAGAGGTGGCTTGTGTATACTGAGCAGAACCTTGGAGCTAAAGTTTTGAGCTAAAGTTTGGTGAGATGTTAGCAGAACTTGAAGACATGAGAATGGGAATTTTATAGTAGTGTGGCTCCATATTTATAGTGTATTTTTCTGTATTCATAGTGAATATAGTTGTAGTTTAGTGGATATGTTTTCCCCCTTGTATCTATGTTTCCATCTTGTCTTCCTTATTCATTTCTAAACTCAAGTCCTACCCTTTATATTTACTGTGGTGCTTTGGTTTACTGTGTTGACTATACTGTTACTTAGCATATAGTACTGATTTATCATTAGCAATTTAATGGACAAAGTACTGGTTAGTAAAAGCCACTTTTATAGGATGTGAAATTCATTTAAATTTGTTTTACAAATAGTTTTGAGGGTTGGGGGTGTAGCTCAGTGGTAGAGCACTTGCCCTGTGTATACAGGCGTTGGGTTTCATCCCTAATACTGCCAAATGAAACAAAATTTTGGGATCTGGTAACTTCTGCACATATSTGTACATGTTGAGAGAAGAAATGAAAAGTTTCTTAAAGTTTCTTACATGTTTTCCTTTAGGCTTTTTTTTTTTAAATTTTTTTTAGTTGTCAATGGACCTCTGTTTTACTTATTTATATGCAGTGCTGAGAATCGAACCCAGGGCCTCACATGCTAGGCAAGCACTCAATTACTGAGCTACAACCCCAGCCGTTCTTTAGGCTTTTATTTTTAAAAATATACTGAATGTATTTTTTTGATGTACTTATTAATTCTTTATCAGTGATTCAAAGAATGTTACATGTTGAATATAGGGTAGCATAGGCAGAAAATTGCCTAGAATATGGATTGTTAATGTGGGAGCACAATTCCTCTTTGTTTATAAATGTATTATTATATCATTTATGTAGTATGAGAAGGAGCAAACCATTTGGAAAAAGAAATTGAAAAAAGACTTAAAAGATTTTAATAAATAAGTCATATCAGCTAAAAATTACCATAATAATAATTTTTAGTCAGTGAATTAATAAGAGATTAAACTTTAACTGAGAAGAGATAGAACTGCATTACAAAATTCAGTTACCACTGCAAGTGTCCCAAAATTTAAATTATAGTTTAATAAGACTAAAACTTCATTTTTAGTATTCAGTAACCACATATTGGATAGTGGCAGATATGAAACAGATATAGAAAATTCTTATATATTGCTGGACAGTACTGGTATAGAACTGTGAGTCATTTTCATTTTGGTTTTTATCTAAATTATTTTGAATTGTATTACCTAACTTTCCTTCACTTTTATCCCTCCTTTAAATTTATAATTATCCCTCCTTTAATTTTATAATCACCTATAATAATATCTATTATTGTATCAAAGATTTATTTTAGTAGTAGACAATTCTGAGTATAGCTTTCTCTATCCTTTTTCTTTCAAAAGTAATTTATATCTTTAAGCCTAGAATTCACAGCTCCACAAATTGATAGTGAAACAGTAATTGTTGATAAAACACTAATTGTATCATTTACTTTTTTTAAAATAAATTTTTTCTCTTAGGCAAAGTATAAAGAAGTAAAGGCAAGAAATGCACAGTTATTGAAAATGCTGCAGGAAGGTGAAAGTAAGTGATGTTATGTTTTTAGAGTTAAAGTTAATCTTAAATAATACCTGAAGACAATTTTTCAAGATATAAAAAGGTTTCCCAGAGTGTTCTCACTGTACTTAACTTGGTATTGGTTTATTGTAGTATTGTTTAAGTATTTGAGTGACTGAAAAGACTATACGGTGGTTTTTCCTTTTTTTTTTTTTTGTCAGTGAAAGATAAAGCAGAAATTCTTCTGCAAGTTGATGAATCACAAAGTATCAAGAATGAGCTAACTATACAGGTAAGGAACTATGGAGCATTCGAGTAGTCTTTTTAGGCTGTTCTTCAATCTTACAGTATTAAACTTGAATAAACAAATACAGCCCATCAACATTGCAAAAAGGTGATAGAAATTATACTTTTATTGTGTAATAGCAAATAAATGATGATTCTATTTTTTGCACCAATGGGGAAAAATAAGGTTGCATTTTAGTGAACTGTGAACATAGAACTTATTCTGTTCCTGTACTTGATTTTCTCTTTCTATCCTTATTCAGTCTTCTAGTACAACAGTGAGCTTATCCTATCTATCTTTAATATATAACCATGTACAACATCTAATGGAAATTATGTGGAGGGTTTCTCCTTTGATACTCATTTATTTGTCAGAATTTATCATTGTAAATTAAGTGTTATAAATTTTAAAATGTTTTCTTATTGAATGTTTGGTTATAGGTGACGTCACTGCATGCAGCGTTAGAACAAGAAAGATCTAAAGTGAAAGTATTACAAGCAGAATTAGCCAAATACCAGGTATGCTTTTAAAATTTTCAAGAGTTTTCATTACACACAGTAATTTGAGTAGACACTATGTGAGAATAAATGTAGTATTTTATTCTTAGGCCAGAATTTACACACCATATATATTAATAATTTTGTTAATAGTCATGTACTTTGTGTTTTAGAAAATGTTAGATATTGATTTGTACAGTATCAAATAAGTAATTTGGGAAAGTCTTTGGAATTAGTAGAAGTATGACATATGTGCCTTTGAGTCATCTTGGGGGAAATGACATTTGTCCCATTATATCCTAAGTTTGCTTGGGTACAGGGCTATAGCTCCATTAAAAAGATACCATTTCCCCTTTATAATTTATAAGTACTATGTAGGGGTAATATTTGGAGAAATTGTGTGCATATCATTTTTATGATAATATTTGCATCAATTATTATTTGTTATTTGCATCAGTTATTTTTGGTGATTACCTAATAGTGATTTTCTAATTTTTTGTTTTATTCTGCATTTACAAGATGACATTCAGCATCTTCTCTCTGGATGAAGCCAAAAAAACCCCAAAGCAGTGCTTCATTTTAATATATATTTATAYATACATACACATTTGTATGTACATATTTATGTTTCTGAATCATAAAAATGCATTAATTGATTTGGAATTATGGTCAAAAAAATGCTTAGAAGCCAGTGGTGGTGTGGAGAACCTAAATTTTGTTTAGTCCTAGCTTTGAAATTGAATCAGTTTGGGAAGGAAAATTTTCTTTGCTTAGGAGATTTTGAAAAAGATCCCCCTGTATATTTGTTGTTTGGTTTGGTTGTTGATTTACTTCATTGAGTTGCATGGTAAGTTTTTAGCCACATAACATTGATAACTATGTATAGTGGTTATATATCTTTAAGAATTCTTAAATTTATTTTTATTTTCCTGCTAATAGATAAATCTCTTTTTAAAATACATGTCATTACAACCTAATGTTCTACAAAACCTGTTCATTCATTAAATCTTTGCAGAACTTTAATGTGATCAGGAGTTAAGAACAGCATTCTTATACTTGGGATGCTCCCCTCCCTTCCACTTCTTTCCTCCCCTATACTTCTCTCCCCTCCCTTCCAAGAGTGGTGATATAGAGAGTAGTATAAACAGAATAGGGGTAAAAGAAATTATTTTCAAACTCATTATCAAATGAGTCTTGTTATGTCTCTGTTATGACCACTACTTCAAAAATGTACTTCCATAGATAAGCAGTTCTCAAATTTGGTTGATCAGCAGGATTACTTGGAAACATTTTGAATTACAGATTATAATCCAGTTAAATAGATGTGGGACAAAGCCCAGACATCAGAATTTTAAAAACACTACTGCTTACCAAAGTAAGCTTTATGCATGTATGAATATCTCACAATTCATTCCAATTTTATATATAACTATAATTTACCAATTAATAAATAAGTAGAAGGAAGATCATTAGAGAAGGGGAAAAGGATCAGGGGGAGGGAGGAGGAAGGGGAATTAGGGTATTGAAATGAAGAAAACTGTTATGCATTTATGACCATGTCAGAATGAACTCCTAATAATGTGTGYAACCATAATGCACTAATAAATTTATAAATACTACTACTTAGGTAATTTTTTGATACTTTTGTGTTTTGGTACTGGGGATTGAACCAAGGGGTACTCAACCACTGAGTTACATCCCTATCCCTTTTCATTTTTTATTTTTAGACAGGTTCTTGCTAAGCTGCTTAGGGCCTCACTAGTTGCTGAGGCTGGCTTTGAATTTGTGACCCTGGATTCTATCCTCAGTACCAAAGAAAAGTGGGTGGGTGGGAACTATTTTAAGGTATTTATATTTAAATTGAGGGATAGAGTGCATAGTTATGGAAAATTTTAATTTTCTTTTTATGCATTGTACTTGCCATATTTCTACAATTCATATTTGCTTTTTAAATTAGAATAAAGCAGGAAATATTATGTTAAAAGTAATGCATATAAAATTCTTTATGTCTTTAAAAGCTGCTTTTTCTCTTGGCTCAAGTCAGATACCATAAATGGTGTTTCATATGCAACAAGTTAAATATAGATTTATATGTGCTACTGAGAAATCTATGGATAAACAATCAAATTTTTAATTCTGTTTATATCAACAAAACTAGATAGAACTTATATTATTAATTGTATTACTCAAAAGATCATGAACAGAATTATTAAATGTGCTGAACACATATAACAGATTTTGTGTTTTATTTTGGTATTGATTAAAAATTTAATATTTTTAAATCTCTGGGGCAGTCAAAGTGAGCTCTAAAACATAATATGTTTATCATCTAGCTAAGTAAGCCCAGACAAATTCATATAGAAGTGCTGTAACTATTTTCTACAACCTACTTTAATCATTTATAAAAATAACCACATAAGAATAATTCAGTAKTATACATATTCAAATTTATAACAAATTCAAGAAAAAAATGCTTTCTTATCCCTAAATATCTTTGGTTGTATATATTCTTAAAATGAAAATGACCCCCAAGTGCTATATTCTAAATAATTTGTTGTATTTTCTTTACAGGGTGGCAGAAAAGGGAAAAGAAACTCTGAATCTGACCAGTGTAGGTGATTATATTATTAGCCTTTGAAGTCAACACAAAAATTAAATCTTTCAGGGTTTTTCAAAGATGTATATATTTAATGCTGTGCAACTGCTAAACTATGCAGTTTTGTTGAAGAAACTAAAAGTACTAGTTCACTAACAGTCTATAATTTTATGTTCTTTTGACTTAAAGTGGAAAGAAGAAATATAGAATTCCAGCCAAACTCAAGTGTTTATCATTTACTATTCATACTTCTTATCACTTTAGTTTTTCATCAGTCAATAAAGTTAATTTACTCTTCCACTAGTATGTTTGATTTTTAAATTTTTATAAACAGTGTAAAAACATTGTTTTTGCTTATAGCTCAACCAGTTAATTGGATTCTTTCAGCTTAGCAAATATTTATTCAAGACATACACGAGTGAAATATGGTTGACATCCTCAGTTAGGTTATGTCTAGGGGAAATAGAAAGTGGACATGGGTAAAATAAAAGCAAAAAATAATTATCGTGTGAGTATGCTATCATATTATTTGGGAATTGCGAAAACTTGCATGAGATAATTATTTTAGAGAGTATTTTTTTCTGTAAATTTGAGAGGCATTCCAAGCAAAAGTGATCCCTTTCTGGGCTGAAAGATTTATTTAAAGAATAATCTGGCCTGAGGACAGTAACATGATACACTGAGAACTGGAGGACTATTGATGTGTGGGGAGGAAGGAATGAGAGATTTTTCATTGGTATAATCAATTACTAAAAGAGCTTTATTTTAGTACAATCACTGAAATACAATTATTATTCATTAAAATAAAATTTTTCTTTGTGTGTTAACAAAGAGAATACATAAATAATGGTCTTGACTCTTAAAACCAGCATTATATTCTACATCTTAATAATCTTTGAAGAAAAAAATACTTCAGCAGAAAGTTCATGAAATTGTCATCATTGCATTTCTGTCTTCTTCCATGAGGTTATATTAGCCTCGAAAAGAATTGTGATATATTATTCTCTGTAGTCCAATTGCTTAATCTGTTATGAGGCACAGAGTAGATGCTAAGGAAATATTTAATTAATAAAAGAAGACCTTCAGGACTGGGGCTATAGCTCAGTGGCAGAGTGTTTGCCTGGTATGCCYGAGGCACTGGGTTCAATCTTTAGCACCACAAACAATATACAAATAAAATAAAGGCATTTTGTCCRTCTACAACTACCAAAAAAATTAAATTAAATTAAAAAAAATAAAAGAAGACATTCAAGGGAAAAAGACAAAAAGRCAAAAAGAGTGGAACTGATAAGGGAACAGAAAGATAAGCAAAGACTGTGTTAAGGGAATAGAATGCCTTCTTCCTCACCCCCTACCTCCCCAATCCATGTGCTAAGGATGAACCTAGTACCTTGTACACACTAGGGGAGTGATCTACCACTGAGTTACATCCCCAGCCCAGACTGGAGCATGTATTTATATAGGACAGTAATAAGAAAACAGAAAAGGTAGGCTGGGGATAGTTATCATCCATCTTGAATTCCAGATTAAGAAATTGGTAATGGGCTGAGGTTGTGGCTCAGTGGCAGAGCACCTGCCTAGCACGTGTTGAGGCACTGGGTTTAATCCTCAGCACCACCTAAAAAAATAAATAAGTTATAAAAATATATTTAAAAATAATTTGGCAGGCACATTAAAAAACCATTAAATTTTTACAGAGAAAGGAGACATGTAATTAGTTTTCCTTTAAGAAGATTGAAATGGCAGTAATGTAATAGAAAACTATAGAAGAAAGTCATTTGGAAGGGGATATCAAGGAGGCATTATAATAGTAGAAATAGACAACTAGGAAAGGAAGTTTTTTTTTTTTCCTGAAGTAGGAAAGTGACAGTAGGATTCAGAAAGTGAAATAAATGTTTCTGTTGTCTTAAATGTATGAAGGTGAGAAAAGAATGAGGGCGGGGGGAAAAAAAAGGTTCTAAGCCTAAATGAAAGTGATAGTGCTGCTAATAGGTAAACTGAAAGAAGAATGAATGAGGAGATGACAGAATTGACTTTTGGGAGGTGGTACTGGGAGAGGCATTTGACCACTGAGCTTCATCCCCAGACCTTTTTATTTTTTGAGACAGGGTCTATGTTGCTAATCCTCCTGCCTCAGTGTCCCAAGTTGCTGAGATTATAGGCATGTGTTACTGAACCTCACTCAGAATTGAGTTCAACATTTTAAATTGGATTGTGTAAATTTATCCTGTGAAAATAATTTGAAAGAAGGATCTATATAGGTAAAAATAGTAACAGAGAACCATGGGATAACATAAATATCCAACTCAAATGATTAATTGATTTAATACTTAAGTGAGAAGAATTACATGGAACTTAAATGTATAACTAGGATGACTGAAAACAGAGTATACTGAACAAAGTTTAAATATAAAAACAAAATACAGCTTGTACACACTGACTACAATTATATGAAAATGATATATGCATATGGACAAACTGGAAATGGTTCATTCCAAAATCAAACTGCATGGAATGGGAGCATTATGGCTTAGTTGTGGGGTTTTTTCCCTTAAAATTTCATCTAACAACATTTTTTGCAATAAAAGAATAGGAAAACTTCTTTTGCTTAAATTTGTGTTAAGTAATTTGCTGTTGTGGAAGTAGGTTGTATCAACTTGTTTTATTAAGTGTTAATAAGGGATATTTCCTGGACAAGGATTTTTTGTTTTTGTTTGTTGTTGTTATTGTTKTTGTTGTTTTAAATCCAGAACCCTTCACTATAATAGAATTGAACTAGGGAAGATAGCATTGTGAATCAAAATAACTATATAACTGCAAGAAAACTTGCAGTTTAATCAACCAGCTTAAAGTCTCACTGGTTTTACTTTCTATTGTTTAACTTTTAGAACTGTAGAAGTTTTACTACCATTAACCATGTCATATAGTTCTGATGATATCTATTTAAAATTAACTTTTGATAATCATATTACAAGCTAAGGTGTAATTTTATAGATTTTTATCATTAAATGCAATGTGCTTTGCATTGTGAATTTGTTAGAGAAAAGGTAATTTTCTTCTTGATACTTCAATATATAGAGAATGAATATGGATTGTATTGTCTTATGTAGAATTAGTTTTTAAAATACAACTTTAATTGTGATATAATGACATACAACTGCACATAATAGATTGGGATGAGTGAACATGCTTTGTGATTTCAAACCTTCAAAGTTTGTTGGATTTTGCTTTATGGACAATTTGTAATCAATTAGTAAATGTTTTGTGTAGGCTTGGAAAATATGTATTCTGCAGTTTTGGAGTGCAGTATTCTATATATGTCCAATTATATCAAGTTTCTTCAAGTCTAATATATCTATTGATTTTCTGTCTTCTATTTGATCAACTATTGAAGAGAGGTGTGTTAAAATCTGACAATGATTGTGGATTTGTCTACTTTTGTCTGTCTGCTTTGTAGGTGTATATAAATTTAAAGCTGTTTTATCCTGTGGTGAAAGATAAATTTTATTTTTATGAATGACTGTTATTAGTATGTTTTTTGCTTTGAAAGCTTTATTTCATCTAATAATTGTTAGCTTCCTTAAACTTAGTGTTTCCATGTTGTATTTGGCACCACCTCCCATCAGTCAATCTTTCTGTGATCTTATGTATCTTGTTTATTTTTAGTTTTGAGACAGTTTTGCTAAGTTGCCTCGGCTATTCTTGAATTTGTCATCCTTGTGCCTCAGCCTCATAAGTTGCTGGGATTACAAATGTGCATCACCACACCCAACACTTAACAGGATTCTAATAAACTGCATATTATACTTTCCTGTTTTTAATCCCAATCTGACAACTTTCTATTTCTGTTTATATCTTTTTCTCATTTTTGTTGGTGATCCCCTTTCTTGTCTGGTCTTTAGAACTGTTAAGTCCTCCAACACTTAGGCTTTTCAAATAAAACAAGTTGGTCCCCCCAAAAGAAGAAAAGTTTTATTATTAGTGGGGCTCTACCCACCAATTTTTAGTACTAAAGTTTGATTTCAGAGACAATCAACATTTTCAAATAACTGATTCAAGAATCTATTATTAAAGCACCTGCTGTTGGAAGAAAATAACTGACAGTTACTTTTTGACATTGTAGTTCATTTTGAGCCACCAATTTTAATTCTGTCAAATGTAACTTTTTTAAATTAAATAATTAGAAGTAATATATATATACACACACACTAGGATATATATATATATATATATATATAAAATAAAGCTTCTTTTTTGGCTTCTTAGAATAGTACTTGTCATACTACTGTCTGTTTTGTGTTGCTATAACAAAATATCAGAGCCTAGGTTATTTTATGTTTATTTTTTTAAATTTTTTAACTTTTTTTTAAATTAGTTACACATGACAGTACAATGATCTTGACATATCATACATTTGAATACATTTGAATCAGATGGGGTATAATTTCTCATTTAGGTTATTTTATAAAGAAAAGAAGTTTGTCTTTGCTCACAATTCTGGAGATCCAAGAACATGGCACCAGTGTCTCGGTGTGAGGGTTTCCCTGGATGGTGAAACAGGAAGTGAGAGATTCAGGAGTTGCACCAGGTGCATTTCAAACAGCAGCCAGTTTTCACAGGAATGGAAAAACATTAATCATCTCCCACTTGAATTCACCTGATAAAGGTTCTGTAATCTCTCAACATTTCCAGAGTGAGGAACCAGCCTTCCAGCAGATCAACCTTTGGGGGACACACTCAAATCATAGCACCAATATCTATGTTTATTTAATAGCAAAGTGTTTTTGCTAATATTTTTTGGCCAAAATAACAAATTCTTCTTTTCCTCTTATTTCTAAATGTTATAATTTCAGCCTTTCATGTTTATAAGATAGCAAACAATTATCATGGAATATTATATGAACCAGTTATCTGGATGATTTTAAACCAGTAGCCAGCCAGGTTGAAAGCCATAGGGCTAAAAGACAAAACACAGAAAAAAAGTAGATAGACTCAGAAAAAACAAAAACAAMAACAAAAAAAACTTAGGCTTTAAAATGAGACAAGTAAAGCCCATCACACACAATAGTTTTAACTGCCCCTTCCTCTAGAATAGGGTCTGTTACTCTTTTCTTAAATTTGAGTGATCTCTTCCACCTCCACCATCTTAAAATGCTTTCTCTGGGGGAAGCTAGCCATCATGTATAATAAGTACCTAGAGAGCTCTGTGCTATAAGACATTCAAGTCAGATGACAAGGTCACCTATAGGACTTTAGTTGATAACCACAGCCTAGCCAATAGTCAATAGCAACTATAGGCCATG